CAGGGGCTCTTCGATCTTCGGGCAGCCATGGAGGGGCATGATGAAGTCGTGGCAAATTTGTTAGAAACAGGTGCAAAAGTGGATGCCGGGGTTGAGGTGAGGATATACTTGGTCTGTTACTCTGTTGTCTGTCACCCCACTGCATTTCATCAGACATAATGTAAATAGGACAATAGGATGGATATATGTATGTTTGTGCAGATATAGTCAATCACTACATCATTGTCATCTATTGCATCCAACATGACTGATGTATGTACATAATGGACCCTATTAATACGGTCAACAATTTAGGGCAATTTAGTCGTGGTAACGGGGTAATGGTGTTAAAACAGTTGTGGCCATATCAAGATGTGTGGGATATTTGGATCCGTGCCTCATATTAACTTCATGAACGCGATTGCAAAACGATAAAAAAAACTATGCCTGAAGAGACCAGACTAACACAACCAAAACTGTATTGGTTGCGGGGATTGAGGTTGCCATTGTATTTCAACCCTTTTCTTGCCGTATGTAAATTTAGCAAATAATATCTATGTAGTTTAACATTGGGAATGGTTCACGCTATATTTTGACTACTTTACTTAACTGACGTATTGGAATTTCGAATGTCATTGAGCAACCGTTAGATATTACTGTTATGTCTTTGAAAGTACGACACAACAACTCGAGAGTTCTTCGTGATCTCTCTTTCGTACAAGAATTACGACAATGATTGCAAGTGCATGAGCAGTAACACCAGTAGTTTGGGGAAGAGGGGACGGAGGTGGCTGGGGGGGGGATGATGTTATACTTATAAATGAGCGGAATATAGGTACGTTTCGCTAAGCACTGTCGTGCAGAAGACGCATGGTGGTCAATCGGCAGTTATCAGAGTGAGAAAATGTTTTTATTCAATTGAATATAATTGAGAAATTTGCACTAGTTAAATATTTCATTCTCCCATATATAAATGTTAACCTTTCTGGAGTTGAATGTCATCTGCTGCCCAATTACACTTACTGAAATCCAACATTATAGGGTACATTGACTACATTGGTCTGTTGTTGTTTCTAAATCAAACCATTGGCAGAAAATTTGCAAAACATTTAAGTTTCGTGTGTCAATGGTGCATGCCAATTAATTTTTTTGCACGTGCTATGCTTGTCACTGCAAAATTGCAGTTGAAATAAAGGCTATCAAGGCTTTAAGATTTTTACATTTTCTTTGTAGGACGGACAAACGGTTCTTCATTGGGCAGCGAGGCGTGGACGTGATGAAATTGTGGCAAATTTGTTAGAAAAAGGTGCACAAGTGGATGCCAGGGATAAGGTGAGGATAGATATGTATGTTGGCCCCTTGTACAGACTTGGTCTATTTTCTGTCATCCCACTGAATTTCACCAGACATAATGTGAATAGGAAAATAGGATGGAATGATATGTACGTTTGTGCAGATATAGTCTATCATTACATCTGTGTCACCTGTATTGCATCCAACATGACTGATGTATGTACATAATGGACCCTATTAATACGGTCAACAATTTAGGGCAATTTAGTCGTGGTAACGGGGTAATGGTGTTAAAACAGTTGTGGCCATATCAAGATGTGTGGGATATTTGGATCCGTGCCTCATATTAACTTCATGAACGCGATTGCAAAACGATAAAAAAAACTATGCCTGAAGAGACCAGACTAACACAACCAAAACTGTATTGGTTGCGGGGATTGAGGTTGCCATTGTATTTCAACCCTTTTCTTGCCGTATGTAAATTTAGCAAATAATATCTATGTAGTTTAACATTGGGAATGGTTCACGCTATATTTTGACTACTTTACTTAACTGACGTATTGGAATTTCGAATGTCATTGAGCAACCGTTAGATATTACTGTTATGTCTTTGAAAGTACGACACAACAACTCGAGAGTTCTTCGTGATCTCTCTTTCGTACAAGAATTACGACAATGATTGCAAGTGCATGAGCAGTAACACCAGTAGTTTGGGGAAGAGGGGACGGAGGTGGCTGGGGGGGGGATGATGTTATACTTATAAATGAGCGGAATATAGGTACGTTTCGCTAAGCACTGTCGTGCAGAAGACGCATGGTGGTCAATCGGCAGTTATCAGAGTGAGAAAATGTTTTTATTCAATTGAATATAATTGAGAAATGTACCATTAGTTAAATATTACATTTTCCAATATATTAATGTTAACCTTTCTGGAGTTGAATGTTATCTGCTGCCCAATTACACTTACTAAAATCCGACATATGGTACATTGACTACATTGGTCTGTTGTTGTTTCTAAATCAAACCATTGGCAGAAAATTTGCAAAACATTTAAGTTTCGTGTGTCAATGGTGCATGCCAATTAATATTTTTGCACGTGCTATGCTTGTCACTGCAAAATTGCAGTTGAAATAAAGCCTATCAAGGCTTTTAAGATTTTTACATTTTCTTTGTAGGACGAAGAAACGGCTCTTCATTGGGCAGCGAAGATTGGGTTCGGTGAAATTGTGGCAAATTTGTTAGAAAAAGGTGCACAAGTGGATGCCAAGGATAAGGTGAGGATAGATATGTATGTTGGCCCCTTGTATAGACTTGGTCTATTTTGTTTCATCCCACTGAATTTCACCAGACATAATGTAAATAGGACAATAGGATGGAATGATATATGTATGTTTGTGCAGATATAGTCTATCATTACATCTGTGTCATCTCTATTGCATCCAACATAATGTATGTACATAATGGACCCTATTAATACGGTCAACAATTTAGGGCAATTTAGTCGTGGTAACGGGGTAATGGTGTTAAAACAGTCGTGGCCATATCTAGATGTGTGGGATATTTGGATCCATGCATCATATTAACTTCATGAACGCAATTGCAAAACGGTAAAAAACTATGGCTGAAGAGACCAGATTAACACAACCAAAACTGTGTATTGGTTGCGGAGATTGAGGTTGCCAGTATATTTCAACCCTTTTGTTGTCGTATGTAAATTTAGCAAATAATATATATGTAGTTTAATATTGGGAATGGTTCACGCTATATTTTGACTACTTTACTTGACTGACGTATTGGAATTTCGAACGTCATTGAGCAGCCGTTAGATTTTACTGATGTTATAAATGGGCGGAATAGGTAGGTTTCGCTAGGCACTGTCGTGCAGAATACGCATGGTGGTCAATCAGCAGTTATCAGAGTGAGAAAATCTTTTTATTCAATTGAATATATAATTGAGAAATTTACCACTAGTTAAATATTACATTCTCGAATATATAAATGTTAACCTTTCTGAAGTTGAACATCATCTGCTGCCCCATTACATTTACTGAAATGTAACGGTATAGGGTACATTGACTACATTGGTGTGCTGTTGTTTCTAAATCAAACCATTGGCAGAAAATTTGGAAAATATTTAATTTTCGTGCGTCAATGCTGCATGCCAATTAATATTTTTTCACGTGCTTGTCACTGCAAAATTGCAGTTGAAATAAAGTCTAACAAGGCTTTTAAGATTTAAATTTTTCTTTGTACGACGGACAAACGGTTCTTCATTGGGCAGCGAGGCGTGGACTTGATGAAATGGTGGCAAATTTGTTAGAAAAAGGCGCACAAGTGGATGCCTGTGATAAGGTGAAGATAGATATGTTTGTTGGCCCCTGGTATAGACTTGGTCTATTTTGTGTCATCCCACTGAATTTCCCCAGACATAATGTCAATAAGACAATAGGATGGAATGATATATGGTGGATTTCAGTCATTTGGATTCTCGCTCTTTACTTGGTGGAATTAATATTAAAATGTTAGTGTTTGTAATCCAAATGAGAATATATACATTTTAAGACCTAACCAGGAACGACTTCGAAAAATGCGGCACAAGGTCCTCTGGTAGGAATTGAACCTACGGCTCTACGATTCCGGTGCAGCGCTCTAACCAACTGAGCTACAGAGGCCAGCTGTTGAGCTGTAAGCGTAAGTTAGTGTATATATAGGTAAGTGGGTGTGCGGGTTGTGATAAGGTGGACTTCAATAATTTAGATTCTTGCACTTCACTTGATCGAATTAATATTAGAATGTTAGGGTTTGTAATCCAAGTTAGAATATATACATTTTAAGACCTAACCAGGATCGACTTCGAAAAATGCAGCACAAGGTCCTCTGGTAGGAATTGAACCTACGGGCATGCGATTCCGGTGCAGCGCTCTAAAAAGCAGAAAGTTTGCAAAATATTTTAGTTTCGAGTGTCAATGGTGCATGCCAATTAACATTTTTTCACCTGTTTGTCTCTGCAAAATTGCAGTTGAAGTAAAGTCTATCAAGGCTTTTAAGATTTAAAATTTTTTTCGTAGGACGGACAAACGGCTCTTCATTTGGCAGCGAAGAATGGAAATGGTGAAATAGTGGCAAATTTGTTAGAAAAAGGCGCACAAGTGGATGCCAGGGATAAGGTGAGGATAGATACGTATGTTGGCCCCTTGTATAGACTTGGTCTATATTGTGTAATCCCACTGAATTTCACCAGACATAATGTAAATAGGACAATAGGATGGATATATGTATTTTTGTGCAGATATAGTCTATCATTATATACATCCGTGTCATCTGTATTGCATCCAACATGACTGATTTATGTGCATAATGGACCCTATTAATGCGGTCAACAATTTAGGGCCATTTAGTGGGGGTAATGGTGCTAACACAGTCGTGGCCATATCAAGATGTGTGGGATATTTGGATCCATACATCATATTAACTTCATGAACGCAATTGCAAAACGGTAAAAAGCTATGGCTGAATTAGACCAGACTAACACAACCGAAACTGTGTATTGGTTGCAGGGATTGAGGTTGCCATGAATTTTTTTTTAACCCCTTTGTTGCCGTATGTAAATTTAGCAAATATATATGTAGGTTAATATTGGGAATGGTTCACGCTATATTTTGACTGCTTTACTTAACTGACGTATTGGAATTTCGAACGTCATTGAGGAGTTAGCATTTTTTTTCAAAATGGCGGATAGTCGTGGCCTACAAGGCTTCGCAAATACGAGAAATAACAGCCGCATTTTGGCTGAATTTTTATCTCGCGTGGTGCAATTAAACCAAGAAAGTGATTCTACGATGGAAACTAGCTTATCTGAGTTAAATACATCGTGTCAAGACCGTGATATTGGCGAAAGTGCCGGAAGGAATTGCAATTGGGCAAGTAATAACTCGAGCTCCAACTATTTGGTCGAAGATACAAGCTATGCCTATGATGAGTTTTTGAAAGCGGCAAGTAATGGAAATTGTCTAGATTTAATATCGCAACACATCGAGAAATTGAAGAGGGATATAGCAGTTACATCGTCTACCGAAGTTAAACTGAAACTTTCGAAGTATAGCTCATCAATCTCACCGATATGAGGGCAGTCATTATTGAGTATTGTAAACAAAAACTTCCCAATATGCCGAAAGGCAAACCGTCCAGAAGATTAAACAGACTAGGAGGGCGATCAGCAACAGATAAACTAGCGACGGACATTAATTGTTCTAATAAAATCTTGTAGTTCTGGCGTAACAACGAGCGAACTGAACGATATATTTCCAAAGCAGCCAAATCATGGGATTCATGGCGAACAATCGCTTCTGAATATGACGGCTAATAATCAGAGTTCGACTACAGTTTGCAGCCAAGATGAGCGTACTACGCAGTCAGTAGATACTCTCTTAGAGGAAATGGATGTAAAATTCTACAATTTGAAGGAGGTTTTTGATGAATCGGTCTTAAATCTGAAGGTTGAAATTGCTGAAATAAAGAAGGATATGTGCAATAAAGATGCAGAAATCAAGTCGTTGAAGCAGGAAAGTTCTGAGCTAAAGGAAAGGCTATGTGAAAGGGATGCGAAAGTTTGAATATTATCTGTGCAACGATATATTCCCTCCGTATCTTCACGATAACCTTCCCGGATGCCTTCTTCAGGTAACTTTCAGACTGTTTAATCTCTCCAGCATTAGACAGGCGTATAAGCTCTGCCCTACTGTCCTCTATCTCCGTATTCTCTGCGTTTGGCAGTTCCTGTTCCATCCTTTTTACTATAATACAGGAACTTTTACTTCATGATTAAATGGATGTACCAAATCCACTTCAAGATGAGCATACTTATTCTCCAAATCAGGAATATATTCTCAAATTGATGAAAGAACGTCTGAGGTAATGCGTCTTCCCACAAGCCGTCATACCTAAGGCGATAATCATGTTGAATGGCATTTTTATTTTCCGGTTAAATAAAGAATGGGATGCCTGTCCACAAAACATGAAACCACAAACAGGGTAAAGCATAACAAAAATCATAAAAGGAAAAAAATGGGTATCGGTATTGAACGAGGAGACATCACGATGAGCGCACACGCTCACATCGGTTACGCCAGCCCAACGGTAAAAAAATATGATAAACAAAACGATGAAGATACCACGGAAACTGACGTGGCTGTGCCTGATCAGCTGCCTATTGATCCCGATAACGGTTGAGGTCCTTCTTATTATTGTTACCCTAGGGCTATTACTTCAATTTTAATGACCGGTAAAAACATTAAAATTACTCAATATAATCCCAACCTAATGTCTGAAATATTTTCCTACACCGATCGTGAGGAATCTTACCCTTAGGAATCTTAAGTAAGGACTCGTCTATCTCCACACCAAGCCTCCTACATACCTGGTAAGTCAAAATATGGAGATTAGGAAGCCTCTTCCTTTTGGGTTCCTCCGCATCACAAATTTCCTCAATATTATCTACAACCTCATCCGATCTTTTTCCCAGAAGGCGGCGGATCGTTGTGTACTTCCTCCCACAAAAATTCTCATACTTAAATTCAACCGTACTCCTATCAGGACCGTCCATACGTGCCCTATCCCAACAGCCATACTCAGAAACATAATGAGTCGGACCAGATACCAACCCACACTCATTACATGTTCTTTCTCCATTTATACCGATAAACTGATGGCTGTCTCCTTCAGGACAGAACTTCATTCAGGAGTTACGGGGCGTATCGGATTCCTTAGGTCCAATGACATCCAGGCACTCCTTTTCCGCTGTTTCAAAAAGCTCCATGTTCTTACTCCTCCTAAGACCGGCCTTTATTAGCTACTTATAATATATAATATCTCTTTGAAAGTACAACACAACAACTCGAGAGTTCTTCGCGATCTCTCTTTCGCACAAGAATTACGACAATGATTGCAAGTGCATGAGCAGTGGACACCAGTAGTTTGGGGAAGAGGGGACGGAGGTTGTGGGGGGGGGGGATGATGTTATAAATGGGCGGAATAGGTAGGTTTCGTCAGGTTTCGCTAAGCACTGTCGTGCAGAATACGCATGGTGGTCAATCAGCAGTTATCATTGTGAGAAAATGTTTTTATTCAATTGAATATAATTGAGAAATTTACCACTAGTTAAATATTTCATTCCCCAATATATAAATGTTAACCTTTCTGAAGTTGAACATCATCTGCTGCCCCATTACACTTACTGAAATGAAACAAACTAGGCTACATTGACTACATTGGTGTGTTGTTCTTTCTAAATCAAACCATTGGCAGAAAATTTGCAAAATATTTAAGTTTCGTGTGTCAATGGTGCATGCCAATTAACATTTTTTCACCTGCTTGTGACTGCAAAATTGCAGTTGAAATAAAGCCGATCAAGGTTTTTAAGATTTTATCTTTTTTTGTAGGACGGACAAACGGCTTTTCTTTGGGCAACGAGGACTTCAAATGGTAAAATGGCGGAAAATTTGTTAGAAAAAGGTGCACAAGTAGATGCCAGGGATAAGGTGAGGATAGATATGTATTTTGGCCCCTTGTATAGACTTGGTCTATTGTGTGTCATCCCACTGAATTTCACCAGACATAATGTAGATAGGACAATAGGATGGATAGATCTATGTTTGTGCAGATATAGTCTATCATTACATATGTGTCATCTGTATATTGCATCCAACATGACTGATGTACGTGGTGAGGAGTTCACGCCTCTGCTGGTGTACTGTGGACATCAATTTTGCCAAGATGATAGCGGACATTAATTCTAGCCTAGGTATGGTTTGTGTCTTAAGTGGTGCAATCCTAGTTTTGGATGTTAACAATTCGACTGTATGTACATAATGGACGCTATTAATACGGTCAACAATTTAGGGCCATTTAGTCGTGGTAACGGGGTAATGGTGTTAACACAGTCGTGGCCATATCAAGATGTGTGGGATATTTGGATCCATGCCTCATATTAACTTCATGAACGCAATTGCAAAATTACTTTTTTGGTACAACCACCTACTTCAAATCATTCTGAAACCCCTGACATTTGGCAGAGGTTAGACAGGGTAGGAAACATTTGGTATAGGAAGTTTAGCTAATTTTGTCAGGTGGGAACCCTGCTAGCAAGGAAACTGAAAGGGATATTGCAATAAAAATTAATTTAATTTGTCTCATTTGCTGAAACGTTTAAAATTTAATATAAAACTCCTTCACCGATGTTTCATATCTTGTTTATAGTTTTAAGTGCCATTATCA